AGAATTCTGACTTTAATCTCAGTATTCTAACTGAATTCTGAGATTAAAGTCAGAATTCTGACTTTTTAATCTCAGAATTCTGACTTTTTTCTCTCAGAATTCTGACTTTAATCTCAGTATTCTAACTAAATTCTGAGATTAAAGTCAGAATTCTGAGAAAAAGGTCAAAATTCTGACTTTTTTCCCATACTAAACTGAAATAAAATTAAAAAATCAGTTAAGTTTTTTTTTTCCACTGGCCCTAATCATCTTCCGTAATAGTCGGATACAACAGGAAATAATAAATATATTGGCTTTTACTTTGCTCGCCCATTGACTGCTGGAGAAAGGCACCAGCACCCCTCGCGACCCCACTCGGGACAAGCGTGTAAGAAAATGGATGGATGGATGGATGGATTGGCTTTTACTGTTTGAATGACTAACTTTCATTCAAATTATTTTTTTTACATTTATTTATGTCGGGATTTGGTTATGGAGTGTTGACCCAAAAGCAGAGGCAGGAAGGCAGAGGTGAATTTCATTCGATTTAATTAAAAAGGGAAACTGAAAACAAAGGCAGGTTATCCAAAAATCCAATAATGAGAACGAAGTCCAAACAAGCATAAAATCATGAGTCCAAAAATCCAAAAGATTCAAACATAAAAACTAGTCAAAACGAACCAGAAACCGTGGAGTCATCAGGGGAATCACTGTCACAACAAGGAAGACGGAGTTGGAGGAAGTTTGACAAAGTTTGGCAGTGTTTGACGGGGACCCAGCAAAGGGGAATTGAAGAGAGAGGGCTTTTAAAGGAGACTGAGACAAAGAGGGGGCTAATGAGGAAACTGGGAGCAGGTGTGCACAGAACAAGAGAGGGAAAGAGCTAAGGAAGAAGGAGAACACAAGAGGGCAGCAGAGAGCAACAAAAGAGAAACCTGGAATGTTAAATTACTAGGACTATAAAACATGGAGAAAAGAAAACTATAAACACTGAAAAGAAAACATAACAGAACCCAGACTAGGACAGTAACTGGAAAAAACCAAAGAACACAGCAAAATAAAAATAAAACCACTAACACTAAACACAGGGAGTAAAGCAAAACTGAATACTCAAAAGAAAAACATAACAGAAACAGAAACCTGACAATTTATACATCTCATAAATCCTTTCATCCACGTTTATTCATGCAGAGTTATGGAATTTGATCAACCATTAACATGTCTGATTAATTAATGATTCATCATCTAATGTCTTTACTTGAAATGATCAAATCATTGTCATGTATTTTTTTTTTTTTTATTGGATTGTCGAACTGTCAGATGTTGATAAAGTTCAAACATTAAACATGAAATCGGTTAAACATGAGTTTGACTTGTTGAATTGGTGGAACTAGAAACTGAACGGCCAGCTTGTGTGGCTGGAGGCTCCCTCAGCCCATTTGAATACATCTCTGCTCTTTTTGCATCTCCTTTATGAAGTCTCGGCTATATTTGTGTGACTTTGACACTGCTTTGCATGTCCGTTGTACTTTTCCACCTCTCTGTCACGTTGTAAGTGGGGTAAAGATCCCCCCTTTGTCGGCTTTTATCCCCATTTCATCCCAACCTTCTTCTTTTTTATTACAATAATCAAATCCTTTCCTAACTGTGTTCGTAAGTTATATCAGTTTTATATAATGCTAATGTTGACCATACAATTAATTGTTTTTTACTGATGTCACAGTTTCAAAACGCTGCAGTCTAAAACCTCTACATTTGTCCTTTTAATGGGACTCATAGTTATAAATTGAAATGAATCTAGAAATAAGACAAAATTCTTCCTAATTTGAGCAGATAACTCAATCCGCCTATATCGAATTAGTATAATATGATGTTTTACTTTACATACATTTAAAGTTAAGGAATGGATTTTGAAGAAGGTTCTCTTGTTGTGATTGGCTCAGCAGAGCAGTAACTTCCTGGCCCATGTGCATGTTGCCATGGCCAGAATCTTTTTCATTGCATTTGCTAAAAAAAAAAGGTTAGGATTTAATCTAATTAATCTGCTATCTAATATTTCAAAGTGATTATTGAATGATTTTTATGAATTGTATTTACCATCCGATGAATCATTTGTGCAGGTGCCTCCTGCTATCATCTACATAGAGTGTAGATGATTACTTTTTTTTCCAGGTCAGAGGGGGATTGCTGCTCCGCTTATCTGGAACAAACTTCCAGAAAACTGTAAAAGTGCGGAAAGCCTGAGTTCCTTTATACGGAAGAGGATTAGGGCCACTGGAAGAAAAAAAAATTTAACTGATTTTTTTAATTTTATTTCAGTATAGTATGGGAAGAAAGTCAGA